GCTGACAGAGAACATTTTACTCATGATGTGCAGTGCAAACAAGTTGTAATAAAATAAATAATCCTTGTATTTGACATAGCACTTTTCGTGGCTTCTGTACGTCTCAAAGCACTTCACAGAATATACTGTAAAGTGATTGACTGTATATTTGTGGGCAAAACAGGGCAGCCAATTGCGCACAGCAGTGTCCCACAAACAGTCATGGATTGAAGTGTCCAATTTATTATTGTTTTTTTTCCTGGAGGGATTATTATCAGGCGTGTGGAGTAAGGAATCTTGCCCAAGGTTTTACCCTGCTGGGAATCAAACCCAGATTTCTCGCTTGCAAGGCGAGTGCTCTAACCACTGAGCTACAGAACTCTCTACCTGTTGTCTGGTTAAATCTTGGAATTTTGATAGTAGTATTTAATAAGGACTTCTGTACATTTGAACATTAATTGGACTAGAAACTATATTAGAGTCTTTGGTGTATAAAATAGTTAGAAACTTCCAGTTGTTGTGAGCCATGTACTATGTGATGACCAGTTTTCCTGACATCTGGAGCCATTTTGAGTGCTCTCTTGGGATCTGCAGACTGCCTGCCTGAAAGCTAACCCAGGCATTCCTTAAATTCTACAATCAGACAAGCAACGCATCACAAACCATCCCATTCCACAGCATCCCTTATAACATCCATCAAAGCAGCAAAGAAAATCTGTGTCAACACAAACATTAATGCCCAATGTGACTAGGAATTACAGGCATTTGCATTGCTGGGTGTAGCAGATAACAGCTCTGGAATGAGCAGCAAACCAGCAGCACTCAGTAGGAATCCACTCACCAGATACCATACCCTATGGCAGTGGACATTCATAGCAGCCTCCTCATTATTTGGCACATTCTGTGATTAAATCTACAATCTCAGTTGCAGCAATAATGACCTAAGTCTGAAAGCTTTTCCCTGGCTGTTGCCCTTTTATACTGGATTTTAAATTCCCATTAGCAAGAGAAGCTGCAGGCAATTCTTAAGTGATTCTGCAGTATAGTAGAGCACCAACCCTAATATTCACATTGACATTTAACTACCTGTTGGCTTTCCAAGAAACTAAATGACAAGCTGGATAAAGACTAATAACTTCACACAGGGTAATTAATGCCTTAGAGCACTGAACTAACCGTTCAATGTAACAGATCTGCACCATTAAAAAAAACATCTGGTCAACCCCAATACAAGACATTTGGTTATTAACCTGCTCCTGAACACAACTAACTTCAAGCTAAAACCAATTTTAAGTCTTTAAACACGGGAAGGCTGTGGCGATAACACAAGACAGCAAGACATTTGGTTATTAACCTGCTCCTGAACACAACTAACTTCAAGCTAAAACCAATTTTAAGTCTTTAAACACGGGAAGGCTGTGGCGATAACACAAGACAGCTGCAGTTAATCATCAAAGTGATGAAAAAAATCAAGAGTCCCAGCTATGGTCCCTGCTTGACCAGCTGCTGCAGATTCCACATTACTCCACCCAGGCTGGGCTGCCTTCTGCTCAAAATGACAGACACATCCAGGTTTCAAGTTTTACATTCCATTGTGAACTCATTGTACTGCTCTCCAGTGAGGCAGCAAAGCTTTCCAATGCTTAACATTGTTAGGGCAGCTACAAGTTTTTTTTTGCCTATTAACAATGCAGCCTTTTAAAGCTGTTGCTCCACTTTAAACAAAGCTGGTGCTCCACTTTAAACAAGAGTCATAGTTGCATTACATTGCCTTTACATATATTCTACAATAGTTTAGGCAGACTTTGAGAAAGCAGAATTCAAACTGGTTAATGACAACTTTGAGCCTCAGTATTAAAACTTCAATTATCTGATAATGGCATCAGCATAGAAACAAGAAACTCAGGATAAGATATTTAGATGTTAATTTAAAAAAAAATAAAAACCATTGTATTCATGGTTTAAATTGAAAGCATCTGATCTTTTAATTGAAAGATTTTATAATTACTGTCAAGTACTCAGAAAGCGCAAGATTAAAAATTACCAGCAAATTTTATAGAACAATGAAGTGATCTTAAAGCTAAATTCAACCATTCTGCCATATACAAATCCAAAAATATAAGCTGATATTTCTGCTGGTTGCATACAGCTACAATCCTACATTATTACTGCTGGTGAGGTAAAGCATTAGAATGAACAGCATCAGTAAAAACAAAACCCAAGCGAACTGGGCCAGCCACACCCTGATCTACTCTTGGCCAGACTGTAGTTCCAGGATAAAGACTAGCTGAAGCTAAGGGACCTTCACAGTCCTGTTTCCAGCCCTACTTAAGTTATCTTACCTGCAACTGAAGCCTTTCCTGGCAATTCTTCACACCAATTTTTGAGATTTTTCTTTAAATGGCCAGCTTTAATTTTGAGTCTCCAAAGACTTAAATTAAAAAAAAATGAACAAACCCAAGCTTTTACTGTTCTCAGCCTGAGCACAAGCTAAGGCAAACTAAATGCACATTTCAACAGCCACAGTGCTTGACAGACATCCCCTTTGTGGTCCTCAGCTGTTCACTGGTCGACTCCTTCTGAAACCCTAATGAGAATGGGATTATCAGCATGTTCCTGTATCAAGCAGGCNAAAAAAAAGACATCGAGTCATGTGATTTTAGTGAGCAGCCCACCCCCTCCCTACACTACACAGGGGATCCAGACCAATCACTTATCAACTGGTCAAAGCTCATTTTCCTACAGCAAAAAGCCCACTGTTAGCCAGCCACCAAGCAGACATTTTAACCCAGAGAGACAGGTCCTGAAACACAGGAATGAAAAAAATATTGCAAAGCCAAAAAAAAACCTTATGCTACATTTGCATTCTACTCAAGAGACACTGCCAAAAACCTATCTAATTCTTTGCACGTTTGCAGAAAGAATCTTGCTTACACATGTCTAAAAGCAATAGATAGCAAGCATAAAGCTGACCATCCCAGCAGATGCAGAAATCAGCCAAGTCAGTCAATATAACAATCCTGCCATTTCATCCAGCACTTAATCAAGCATTCGAAACATCTGAAAGCACTTTACAGGATTTATCGCAAAGTGCAGTGACCATTTATTTGTAGGTAAACCCCACAGACTGTGTGTAGAGCAATGTCCCACAAAACAGCTATGAAGTCAATGAACAATTTTATTTGGGGGAATTGTGGCCAGGACATCGGGTGAAACTCCCTTCATTTTTCAAATAGTTCCACGAGATCTTCAACGTCCACCTGAACTGGCAGACAGGAATTTGGTTTCCACTTCATCTCCACAAACGGCTTCTTCTCTAACCCCCGTACCATCTTGTGTGGTGTTCCTCAGGGCTCTGTACTTGGTCCCCTCCTCTTCAATATCTATATGCTCCCTCTTGGTGACATCATCTGCACACATGGGGTCAATTTCCACATGTATGCGGATGACACCCAACTCTAACTCTCTGCTTCCACCCTTGACTCCAGGACCACTGCTGTCCTGACAGAATGTCTGTCAGACATCAAGTCCTGGACGTGAGCTAACTTTCTACAGTTGAACGTTACCAAGACCGAGGCTCTCCTGATTGGCTCCCGTCAGCGCCTCCACACCTCAGGCGCTGACAGCATCACCATCCATGGTTGCACCCTTCACTTTGCTAAGCCAGTCCAGAACCTTGGGGTCTTGTTTGACCCTCAACTAACCTTTCAACCCCACATCCGTGCCATGACCTGCTCTGCCTTCCCCCACCTCCACAAACATCGCCCGGCTCCGCCAATTGTCTCACACCGCAGGCCGCCGAGACCCTCATACATCCATTCATAATATCCCGGCTCAACTACGCAAACCCCCTGGTTGTCAGTCTCCCCAATTCCTCTTTCCATAGGTTGAGATGATCCAGAACTCTGCAGACCGCGTGCTCTCCTGTACCACGCTTCACAACCTTATCACCCCCATCTTTGCCCGACTTTGCTGGCTTCCCATCACACAGAGGATACAGTTCAAAATCCTGGTCCTCACTTTTAAAGCCCTCCATGACCTTGCTCCCCCCTACCTCTGCAACCCCCTAACCCCCCTACTAACCTGGCCACTCCCTCCGCTCAGCGGGCTCCGGCCTGCTTCATGTCCCCTGCCTCACCCACCCCACCTTTGGCGAGCGAGCCTTCAGCCACTCTGCCCCCAACCTCTGGAACACCGTCCCACAGTCCCTCCGTATCGCCCCTTCCCCTAAGACCCGTCTCAAGACCCTCCTTTTCGACCATGCCTACGGTCAACCTCCTTTCCCCCCTGCCCTCCACCCTCCTGGATCCTGACCCCTCATCTCGGGTCCGAAACATTGATTGTCCAGCACCTTGGAACGCCCTGCCGATGTGAAAGGCGCTGTACAAATGTAATTTGTTGTTGTTGGTTTAACATCTCACCCGACAATGTAATGCTCCCCCAACAATGCATTGAATTGTCAACCTAGATCACAAATTCAAACTCAGGATTTCTGAATTGGTTCTGAAGTAAAGATGCATTAAAGTGCCATTTCTGCTGGTAAACTAATAAGTGGATTATAGACTACATATCCAGTCTAATATTACATTCATCCAATCTCAGAGAGTGTATATAGCATAGCCATCATTGCATTGTCTTTACATCCAAATAAGAGGGGTAAGCTCCTGGAGAGGTGGGGGAAATCCTTTAACATAGCACATTACAACTTAATCCCACTCATAGTTAAAATAGTTATTTTGCATCCATATAATGATAACCTTAACAGTGGGCACATTCACAGAACAGCTATGATCATCACAGATAACAAACCGGGCAGATGGTAAAAATTACATATGTATTTGGGAGAATAATTTGTGAAAGTGAACCGCGCCATCTAATTTTTTTTAAAAGGGTAAGTTTTTCTTCATTCCTTTATGTATTGATCATGTATTAATGTTCTGTAGAACATTAAACACCAGAATTCTGCATATTTTAATGTCTCATTTCTCTCCCCCACAAAAAAAGTTCAAGATGTTCTTCACCTTCTATGGGAGATATTTCCTCCTGATGCGTATTCAACTGTTCTGATGTTCCATTGATATCTGCTTGCTCCTCTGGTTTGCCATGGATACTGGAGATCTGACCATTCTTCTGCATGGGCTGTTTTGGAAAAGAAGACAGTTCATTTCAGTTTGTCATGTATAATATACACCCAATCTTTTCCTTGAAGGATAACGTTTTGTACGCAATGCTTCATTTACCTTAGACTACTCCAAGTAGTGGCCATCTACAATACATCAGTGCTAGCATAAAGAAATTAGACTGAATATATAAAAGCATTTGATATAGCGCCTTATCACACAGTTGAGAAATTTCAAAATGAAAAGGGAAGAAAAGGAGAGAAGTTTCTCACTCATTATAGGTGCATTTATGTGGGCAATGGGTGATGGACTGGCCTTCTATGGTGCTCACACACCATCTTGGGTAAGTGGCAGCGGAGACTAACAACAACAAAATTACATTTGTAAAGCACCTTTCATGGCAGGAGGACGTTCCAAGGCACTGGACAGACAGAGTTATGGACCCAAGCGGGTAGTCAGGGAGGGTGGAGAGCAGGGAGGGAAGCAGGAAGATCGAAAGTAAGGACGAAGAGGAGGGTCCTGAGATGGGTCTTGAAGGTGGCGAGGCGGGTGGATTGCGGGATGGAGTTCTAGAGCATGGGGTCAGAGTGACAGAAGGCCCGGCCAATAGTGGGGCGAGTGAGGCATGAAGCAGGCCGGAGCCCGCTGAGCAGAGGGAGCGAGCACAATGGCAGAGGGTTAGGAGGTTGCAGAAGTAGGGAGGAGCAAGACCGTGGCGGGCATTGAAGATGAGGACCAGGATCTTGAACTGTATCCTCTGTGTGATGGAAAGCTAGTGGAATTGGGCAAGGATAGAGGTGATATGATCACGGAACCTGGTGCGGGAGAGGACACGAGCTGGATGATCTGCAACCTGTGGAAGGAGCAGCTGGGGAGGCCGACAAGCAATGAGTTTGCATAGTCGAGCCTCGATGTAATGAAAGCATGTATGAGAGTTTCGGCGGGCTGTGGTGTGAGAAGGCAGCGAAGCCAGGCAACGTTGTGGAGGTGGGAGAAGGCAGAGCGGGTCATGGCGCAGATGTGGGGTAGGAAGGATAGTTGAGGGTCAAACAAGACCCCAAGGTTCCAGACTGGCTTAGTAAGGTGGAGTGTGCAACCATGGATGGTGATGCTGTCAGTGCCTGAGGTGTGGAGGCGCTGACGGGAGCTAATCAGGAGAGCCTCGGTCTTGTTTACATTTAATTGAAGAATGTTAGCTCTCATCCAGGATATCCAACAGACATTCAGTGGTCCCTGGAGTCAAGGGTGGAGGCAGAGAGATAGAGTTGGGTGTCATCCGCATACATTGGAAGTTGACCCTATGTCTGTGGATGATGTCACCAAGAGGGTCATATAGCTATTGAAGAGGAGGGGACCAAGGACAGAGCCCTGAGGAACACCACACGAGACGTGCGGGGGCTGAAGTATAACCCGTTTGTGACGACGAAGTGAAGGCGGTGTGAAAGGTATGATTTGAACCAGTCAAGGAAAAACAAAATACCCCCCATGTCACACTGCCTTACTTATAGTGCTGGCATTTGATGGAGCCGTACTAACCAAAGGCGGAGCGCTCCTGGCTTTCCGAGCTGACATGGGCCAGCTACTGGATTGCTGGTGATATAATTTCCTATGCACGAGTTGGAAGCCCTGCTGATGTTGCTTCACGAAGGAATGATTTTATTTATTTTTGGGTCAGCTGGGTGTCTGACACATGGAAACCCATCACCATGCTTAAAGAGTATCCAAACCAAGCTGAGATTTCCTTGCATCCCACCTATGCATGGAAATCCCAGAGATAAGATTGTTGGAACGGAATGCGCACGCTCTCCCCAGCGAGTGTGTTGGGGCACCGCTGGAGTCTAACCAGCTAAAACTGCATAGCTTGCCGTTGATATTGCTGTCCCGCAAGCTTTCCCGCTGCTTGTGCAGCGAGGACCACCCTACTTGTTAGGGCTTTGGCATGCAGGGTTAACTGGAGTTGAGTGGGATGGCTCCCTGCCCCCAGTGACTGGTCTGCCCTTCTAGGTCCTGCCGAAGAGCCAGGCTGGCTATGCTGTCATCAACAGGGCCCTGGATTACTGCAGACCTGCGTGGCTCAGGAACCGAACTACCAAGACCGCCACAGAGGACTGGCTCAATTCTGACATTCCTTGGAACCATTTCAGCTCCAAGGAGACGCTGCTTACCTCCCCCCCTTAATGAGCATAATCACTAGTTGGTCGTTCAAAATCTAACAAGCGCAGGTTTGAGCCCTCAGGTTGGATGGTAGGTACAAGGAACTCCCTACGAGCTTCCCATGTGCAACTCATCTCAGTATGAAATGCATGAGAGCAGTGTCACAGTCTTGCCTGTTCGCAGCTCGGGCACACATTCCTTCCCATTGAGCGATGGTTCAACCAACTGAGGAAATTAAGTCAGCAGCAACATGAAAGTCAACTATTCTTTGTGTGTTGCTTATAACTCAGCCCCCAAGTCTCAGCCCCAAGTCACTTGCCCAGGGGATACAGTTATAAGAAGCTTCCCCTGTACATACATGGGCAGAAAGCCACTGAACAAAAACCTGGCCATTTAGCCATTTGGAGCAGCAGCTGCCGTAGAATGCACTCTGCAGGGCCCCCACACAGCACTGATTTTAAGCAATACATGCTGGAGTGAACTCCACTAATCATAGTGCTATTAAATTCACACCTCCCATTCTAGGATCTAGACATCAAAGCAATAACAACCAGATAAGCTTCCAAACTAAAACAGGATTCAGGCAATACAAAAATCAGGCTCCTGAAATCACCAAAAAAGGTACACTTGTAATGGGATAAAGCTACAAACAAGGTTTCCTGTGTAAGAACAGATACCAGTAGTTTAGACATAATAGCGGTTTTGTATTTCTATTGTCAAAGTAGTCAGTTTGAAAGAGATAACTAACCCATACGGTTTTAATTAAGCGAGTCGATTGAATTTTTGCAGTTCAGGTCTTTTAAAGAGTAAAAGACTCTCTGAAGCAAAACAAAATTAGCAATGAAGCAGATGTATTAACAGGAGGTCTTTGTACAGAGCAGCGCTCCTGATATTGGCAGGCACCAGCTGCTGGAAAGCACAGAGAGGGTTATTGCTTGTATACCAAACATTGCTGCCCGCTTGAAAGGAACTAATAGTAATCCTGACACTGTGGTGAAGCTTGTGGTTTACATGCAATTTAACCAATTGAGAGAAAGTATAAAAGAGAAAGTATAAAAGCAAACTATGGGCAGGCTGGTGGAAACCACTCAGGGGTGTTTTTTAAAACAAAATTGTCTTCTGTTCAAACCCAGAGTGAAGAATTTGATTTAAAACAAGAGCTATCCAGACAACTGGCGAGGAGGACTAAGTTTGGTCCACAACAATCTAGGAATGCTAAATGTTTCTAGGAATGTCAAATGTTATCAAAGAGTGATAAAGATCATACTGATGATAACTCGAGACTTAGCTATCTGGTTACCTGGGCGAATCCCCTTTGGCCTCTTCACTCCAACCACATTCCACACTCCAGCAATTTATCTACTGCACTGCAAATGTTAGTGCTCTCATGTCTAACAAAGACCTCTTTATATAGAATAAATAACCTTTGAATTGACCAGCCACTCTCCATAAGGCAACTGGATAGAAGTTTAGAAACATTTTAGCAAAACACGTACAATAAAAGTTGTTGAATGAGAAAATGTAGGGAATCCTATTCCTTTTGTACAGGATATTTTAGGAGAAATTTCACCAGTCTTGCTTTATTCAACATTTTGAGAGTGTCCTGAGTGTAGGAAATTCTGGACGGCAGCCTCAATACACCTTTGCCATCAACTCTCCCTCTAATCTGCAGGGTCCTTCCTCCATTTTCATTACCCCAGGCTCAACTATTCCAACTTCCTGCTCCCCAAACTCTCCAGCTCATCTATATCTCAGGGTGGTTGGGAAAAAAGTCTGGGGGTTGTTTTAATTTTCAAGGTCAATTTGGAGGAGGGGAAAATGAACGTGGACAAGTGGCTGACCTAAAGCTTACTTGCAAACGTGCAGTGTTAACACTGTGCTCTGGTGCCAAGATCATAGGTACATTGTTTTGCCAATATCTGTTCTACAAAAAGTTTCTCACATTAGATATGCAGATTTCACAGTATATCAAGCTTTATGCTTCAGATCACTGAACTGTATTCACAAGTGATTCAGTTTGTCTTGTAGTCAAGTGCCATGACCAGCTCAGATAGATAACTGGATTAGAGCCAATAATTTCAAATTAAACTGTGGATATTTTTAAAATAAAAAAAGAGAGGGAGGGGCCAAAGAGGGAGTCCAAGATGAAGTGCCAGAGAGTGGGGTCAAAATGACCGAAAGCTCACCTATCAATGATGTGGCAGGGGACATGAAACAGGTTGGTGTTCACTGAGCAGAGGGAGCGGTCAGGATAGTAGAGATGGTCACAGAGATAGGGTGGGGTGCAGCCATGAAGGGATTTGAACACAAGGATCTTGAATTTGATCCGCTGGAGATTGGGAAGCTGAGCGAGGATTTAAATATATAGGCAAGCTGAGCATGGTGCGGGAGAGAGAGAGGCCATGAGCTGCACAGTCATCTAAATTCACACACAAAAAAGGAAATCTCGTCTCCCGTTTGTGGGATGTTGCTGCCTTAGATGTGCTCCATGTGGCAGCTGGACACTGTATGAAATGATAGTGATACATAAAATAAGTCACTAGATCAACAATTAAGTGGAAAGAAGAAAAATATATTCTCAATTATTGGCTACTAGAGCTTAAACTGGCTCTATATTTTTGTGTTCATGGAATATAAGATTACATAGAAGATTTATATTCAGGCTTTAAATGCGGTGGTTACATCACTCCAATAGCAAATCAGTCACCTCGCATCCTATTACACTTTGCAGTACTTCAACAAGGCTTCCGGCAAGAGCTCCCCACACAAACCTCCTGCACTTCCGATTTCCTGTACTTCGATAGTTACACAAAATAAGTGTGGGAAGGGAAGTTGCAAGCTTTCCAGCTAAACAGAACACAGGGT